ATTGCCAAGAGCTAAAACCATGCGGCATTCGTTCATCCAAGATCAAGTCATCGCGACCCTTGGATCAACAACACTACACATCTACACATTTCGAAGATCGAATCAGATGATCAAGTTATAAGGAGATTGTAACCCTACAAATTCATTAATACAAACATTTACTTTGTACACGTGTTCTTATCTCATTTGTCACAGGAAATTCGTATTTACAGTAATGAGGAGTGATATTAAAAAAAATACATTGCATGCCAAATAAAACTCAACGTAACTCCACTCCGTCCAGCTTAAACAGTCTTCCAAGACAAGCTAAAATCTTCAGGTTGCTAGCTTTAATAACTATGGTTGTGCTGAGCCTGAGTCAAAAGGTAACTCTTTTGACAAGTAAGAAGAAATAAGGCTTAACTGTAATTGTGAATGGAAACTTGACAAGCAAGAGGATCTGTTGGAGGTTCAATGTTGTACAATGAAATGGAATATAATAGAGTGATTTTACTTACACTCAAAACATATAAAATGTACGTATTTATAAGGACACTAAATTTTTCCAAATGATTCTTCAAATCGTTCAGGAAAAAAAAACCGCTCCCTATCTAGAGAAATATTTAAATTACATAATATGGTCGAGGGTTATGATGTTTGTATCTATATATTTTCTTAGGCATGGGCATTAGAAAAACTATTTGAGATAATTAAGGTCCCTCACATCATTTGCAACTTCCAAATGGAGTTTCCGTTCGAGCATTTCAAACCCTCTAAAGAGGCTCACAATGCCCTCTATCTCCTCCAGACTATAAGTTCCACGAATAACGTAAAATTACCTCACAATTTCAAACCCTCTAGATGTTGGAAGGAAAAATGAAAAGTTATAGCTAAACGATTCTTTTTTTTCTTAATCTTTCGAGAGGGCATACAATTCCCTTCTGATGAAATGCAACCAGAGATGAAGTGCTGCTTTGGGAATTCACTTTTAATGAATGAAACTTATAAGGAATACAAGCTAACAACTTTTGAGCAGACGAAACGTGTGTGTGTGTGTGTGTGTGTGTGTGTGTGTGTGTGTGTAGTATATAAGTTAACAATAGTAAAAAATAATAAAACCATTATTATAATAGCTAGGTTAAACCCACACACACACATACATGTATATACATAGGCTCTATCCAAAGGGATCTTCATTTTTGGGTAAAAATGGAGATTAGTTGTAGGGCCCACTTTACGTCGAATTTCAACAATTTGAACCTTCTATTTTGTAAGTCTCAATTCATAGATTATACTTGCAAAAATTCAATTTAATCCAAAATCATTTGCCTATTTAATTATCACAATGAAATTCCATTGTTTCTTATAGAACGTATTCATCAATTTCTTTAAACTCAATTAGATATCTCAAATATTTTCGATTGGCTAATATTTTGTAAGAATGATCTATGAGGTCCAACTTGAAAAATAGATAGTTCGGATCATTGAAGTTCGATATGGTGTAGACCCCACAACTAATCCTCATTTTTTTTTTAAATGAGAATCCCTTCCCTTAAAAGCCTTCTATACATACAAGCTCTTTATACATATACTAAACTGTGGAAGTTACAATAATATGTTCAATTATTGAGAGTGGCCAAGGTGGAAGAACAATACCAGCCATAGATACTTTATGAAGGTCATGGGAATGGAAGCATTCCTGCATATAAAGCAATCTTAACTATCAAGCTCTTGACTCTTCTTCTTACTCAAATCAAACCTCACCAATTTTAAATGCCTTATGATCTTACAATATGTTTGACGAATATCTTACTCCTTAAGTACGCTAATTTGGATGCAAAGCAATTTTTTCTAATAGAATGTTATTATGTATAATTAATGGGTGGAGAGATAGGCTAAGTTACACAATAAGACAGCCATAATAATTTGGTTTTTCGTTATTTATAGAATCGAACCTAAGACCTTCCACCGACGAGTGGATAAAAACTCTAGTATTAAGTAACATCAATTAGGTATCAGTCTAGCTGTATCTTAAATTGCAATGCTGAAAGAGGTTACCTACTCCCCCTTTATAGTCAAGGGCGGATCTGGCGTATAGAATCTTGGAAGGAGAGGGACAATAACACGTTAACATTTTCGAGTATAGTTACATGCAAGTTCAAAAATGTTGCTAACCAATTGACATGGAAGTGGTGCAATGCTCTTCTACAGATTAATAAGATGTCCCCTTTAAGAGAAACATAATTAAGTTTGTTGGATTCCTATGGATCCGACTTTAAATGCTTCTTCCCGCATTTTATATAAGTTTAATAGAATATTGCTTGTCTAGAAAGAAAAAAAACTATATGCCCATCTTGAATTTTAGTTTACAAGCTAGTGACTGGAAACACTTGATAATTGATCCCATCAATTTGTTTAGAGAACTTTAACGATACGAGGGAGACTCTATGCATAAATTAATCGACAATCAAAGAGATGGCTTAATATCTGACCCCAATTACATTTGTCTTCTGAAAACACATCTTGAATAATATCATATGGCTCTTCAAATCCTTAAAAACAAAAGCTCACTACCCAGAGAAAATCTAAATTAAATAATGTGGTCAGGGTTATGAAGTTTATATCCCTATATTTTTATGGGCTTGGCAGCTAGAAGTAGTAGTTGATATAAGGTCCCTCTCATGCATTTACAACATCCACATGAAGTCCCTCTCGTTCCTTCAACTGTATGTTCCCTCGTTCCTTCAACTGTATGTTCCCTGAAATAACTAAAATTACTTAACCGCATGACTCAAGCCATTATACCATTTCCATGCACCCAAACGTAAGTCACAGGCTATCCAGCTAGCACACCCTTATTACAGTCCTTCCTTTTCCCACCCACTAGTACTCTCTCTCTCTCTCCCTCTCTCTCTCTCTCTCTCTCTCTGTGGAAATTAATGGCATTGCCACCACATCAAGCACTCGTTATCATGCTTTTGATTTGTTGTTCAACAAGTGTCTCCGCCGCTACTTGATGGTCATCAACCTTTGGTGTCTAAGGAAGTAGACGCGGGGATAAAATGTGGAACGTGCCCTTGTGTCAAACCTTGTGAACAGAAACAGCTGCCTCCACCGCCACCTCCAAAGGCTCCAACGACAACTCAAGATTGCAACCCTAATCCAAGCCAATGTCTGCCGGTACCGCCGCCACCTTCAAGGTTTGTTTACGTGACAGGTCTACCAGGGGATGTGCAGTACCAAACCGACTCATATGCATATTAATCATCTGCTCCACGTCATCACAACAAGGAGTTGCTGCTCTTGGTGGTATGTGGGGGTCTCTTAGAACTAATCATGGCTTTTGGGGGACTCTAAAAATCATATTATCTAGTTAATTAATTTGCCATGGTCTATTAATTTGTCCATGAGATCATGGGATGTATATCAATTAAAAGGCTAATTAAGCATTCGATCCAAGTTTTATAGCTAGATCTGTTTAGTTAATTAGTACGGTTCTTATAATGTTGATATGCATGCAATCAATTTTTAATGCTAAGTAACTAGTTAATTAATCTTTGCTTATATATATATATATATATATAAAATATATATCGTATCCCTCTACAGACTACAGTAGGAAGCTCATTGGTTCGTTTACAGCTGCTGAACTAGCTAAAGCATTCATTAGTCAGATTAAACTACAGTAACAACGTGCTTGAATTCTTTTTGTATGCAATTTTACTATAAATTCGCCAAAGCAAAACACCATCTCTTTCTCCGTTTTAACGTTTTTAAAGTTTGGGGGCTCAAAATATATTTTTTTTTTCATGTAATAAGAGAGAGATGCATAAATTAAGGACATACAAACGGGATACAAGAAAGTCGTTTGTCACCTTTGACACTTTTACATTTATTATTTACGGTTTTCTCGCTGTGCAAAAACTGTTATTGACACTTCATCAAAGTCCCGTGGCCCTTTTTTATTATAAAATTATAACAAATTAAGAAATTACACTTTGAAGAGAGTTTGAATAAAATGACTCTTTGAGTGGCAATAGCACTGGCGGAGCCAGAGAGAGACAAGAATAGCCGGTTCTATCCTGAATTTTCACCCTGCATGTTTTTGCGAGGTTGTAGCTCAAATTGGTTAGTGGGATTTTGCATTTCCAAGTTGCCATGGTCTTTGATATGTTATTCCAAATCCTTCAGATTCCTTTTCTAGGCCATCAGGACAGAAAAAAAATAAAAAAAATAAAAAAAAACATTATAATTAGTCTTTTGTATACCATATAAAAACTAAGCCCTCTTTTTTGGTCAGTTTGATATAAAACAAGGCTTGTAGCCTATTGTCTAGAGGACAATTTAATTTCTTTTTGGTCAAGGGGGAAGATCCAATTATATTGAAAGAAAAATTTCATAGTAAAAGTTTTAAGTCATGACTTTAAATTTTTGTTCGAATCTAATGTTTTAATTTTTTTTTTTTTTTTTTTTATCAAAGACTGTAAACAAGTTTTGTTCATATGACATAATTAGTTCAATATTGAGTTTTTCATCTGTTAAAAAAAATATTGAGTTTTCACATAAAATTTAAAGCCCACCACTCCTATTTAATTTAAATTTGCCATTCCAGTGAAAAAACCTTTAATTTTTTTCCCATTTTCCCATTAATTGTATTGCTATATTTTGTTTAATTTTCTTCATATGATTTAAGGGCCCAGTTTAATCTGAATTTCAGACTTCACCACTAGACAATAGTAGCTATCCGAGTATTATACTCATGATTAATCCATATCACTTATCATTAATTTAGGTCTATTGACTTGTCCACGGCTGCTTTCACATTATATATACTAAAACCCAGTTGTGTTCCAGCACTGTTCAGCAATAGTAAAAGGGCGGAAATGCCCTCGGTTTCTTCCTTGCTTCCCGTATTGTTTACGTTTTGCTACAGTATAAAGTCCATTTTACCCTCATTTGCCACGCGTGTACTTCGCGAACCGCAACCTTTTTCCTCTTCTGGATTCTTCTTTCCATCTCTCTCTCTCTCTCTCTCTCACACACCCTTTTGTTTCTCTCAAACCTCTCTTTGCCTCGCTCGCTCTCCGATCTCCAGAGAACCTCTCTTTGCCTCACTCTCCGATCTCCAGTTCTCTCTGTGTCTCCTTTCTTCCAGAAAACACTCAAGTTAGTCAAATTTGTTCAGATCTTTTTGTCGGGGGCTACAGATGCCAGCGCTCTCTTGCTGAAAAATAGTGGTCTCGATTTAAAGAAAATTTGAAGCCCATAAAAGATCGTGTTTCCTGCTGCCGATTTGGTGTGGGTAATTCTCTACTTTGAATGTTATGTGCTTGGGAGTGTAAATTTGGATTTATAAATGGGTTTTTTTGTTCAAATTTTTTGGTTGTGATTTTGGGGATTTTGTTTGTAGCTTCGGATTCTGGGTGATGATGGTTAATTTGGTTTTGCTTTCGGTTTCAGGAGATCGGGTTTTTCGAATTTATGACTTTTCTTTGAAGCCTGCGAAGACCTCTGTGTTTAAGGTGAGTGCTTTTGAAATTCCACGGTTTTGATTCGACTTGCAGGCTGAGGTGTGATTTTAGATATGAAATTTTCAGGCTTCAGATCCCTTTCCACCGTTACTACCACCAATTCACCCATACCTCAGCTTTCTTTCCACGATTCCTCAAAACGTTCATATCGGTACGTACACTCAAGTCCGATTCTATTTGAAAAGATTGATTATTTTCCTTTTTTTTTTTTTTCAGCAAAAAGCACCATCTTTGTCTAATTTTTTTTGAATTTTTCTCAGGAATTCTGGCCCATCGTTGAGATTTTCTGTATGGGTTTTGGTTCTTTTGGATTTGGAAGGAGATGGAGATCGGAGTTCGTTGCTATCATCTATTCAACTTAAATTTTTGGGGATTTGGTTTGAATTTTTGGGTAGGCAAGTGTCACCTTTGTTCAACTTAAATTTAGTTTTTTTTTTTTTTCCTCAAATTTATTTGATGGCATGATTTTTTGATCCTTACTAAATAGTTGTTAAGAAATGTTGAAATTTTTAATAGTTCTGAATCTTCTGATTTCTTCTGAATTTGTTTTTGTGTTTTACTATCATGTCTCATGCTTTCGAATATAATTGGGTAAATTTTCCCAAGAAATGGGTAATAAATGGAAGGCTCATAACATGTAATAGAAGAGAGTTATCAATGATGATAATAATATTTTACTATTAAGTACTTCAGTTGGACATCTCACAAGACATAAAAGCCCTGTAAGTTTTCTTCTTTTGCAAAGTGCATGTCTTTTTGGTGATTCTTTCAATGCTTGGACATCTGTTAATTTTGTGTGATTTTGCTTTGGATGGTTGTTGGGTTTGATTGGATTGCACACTTATTTAAAAATGGATAATCATTCTTCGAGTTAATGGCTGAATTGTAGGCTTGGCTTGATTTTGCCTTTTAATTTCCTCTAAAGTTGTAGGTTATAATTCAAATTATGGCTATCTTGAAGCATGTATAATTTTTGTTCTCTTTTATGAATTCAGAATAGGCGTGTGTGTGTGTGTGTGCATGTGTGATTAAAGCAATGATGTTTTTGTTTGAAATTTCGAAAGTGTTTGTTTTCCAGATTTTTAATCACTAATCTGTTAGAAGCCAAAGGATTCATATGCAGACAAAATGTTTGGTGTGTAAAGTTTAAAAGAATTCATTTTTATGAAAAAGATAAATAGGTAACTATAAGAACCTGCTTTGGTTATATTAACGGGGGGAATGCAACTATAACAATTCATTAAATGCGATGATATAATCTGATAGTATGGATTCTTTTAAAGATTTTTTCCGATTATTTTACAGTTAGTATGTTGAGTAATTTTCTGGAGAGTAAACCTTTTAGATTTGAATATGCAGCAATTAATGCACTAGAAGGATTCCTCTTTCAATGGTGATTTGTCTTTTTGACATATTCATTGCAAGGACAAATGAGAAGTAATCGGAGGCTGTTGTACCTTACATTAAGGTTCATTCGTTGTGTTATATTTGGATTTTATTATATAATACTGTCTATGTATGGTTTTTGAAACGGTGCTCAAAATTATCCTGTGTTCTTTTTGTATATACAGAGTGAACAGTTCATCTTTTGCGAAGGACAAAACAGGAGACAAGGTTTTTTTACTCCATATGGGACGGAGAGGTTAGTTTGATTGTGGTTACTTTTTTGGTTTAGTTGAATTGAAAATTGGTCATATTGAGTCGAATTTAATCATTTGCTTACATGGATTGAAATTACTGGTTCTATTAATGCTGATGACGGAAATCAACCCGAGTTCAAATTAAAACAATATGATAATTTTGGTTATGGTAAGAACTAAAAACTTAGTACCCTTTTTTTTTTTATCTTTCCCCTTTTTGGAATTAAGAAATTAGGTTACCTTTCTATACCTTTTCTGTGATCGTTCACTGAAAATTTGTTAATTTTTTTAACATATATAAGGAAATATTTTTACTTTCTAGAATCCATTTCTAATGTTTAGAGTTTGCATGATTTTACATTGTCAAATAGTATATAAGTGTCCATGTTTAAGTGTGTCAGTGTGCTGTTGCACTACTTTAATTGGATGTGATAAAAGCTGACATGTTTTCGTCAAATTGAAGTTTTTAGTAATGAGTTTTTTCAATGCTGTTATTTTTTGAACATATAAAACGATATCGTTATGTTCATTACGGTGAGAACTGGGAACTTAAAACACTATTTTTTTTAGCTTTTCATTTTTTGAAGAAATTGAATTACTTTTTTTTTTTTGTGTTTATATATATCTTTTCTTCATTCAATTAAGTATTACACCATTTAGTTTAAATTGCAAAGACAGATGTATGAACCGTATTTGATATAACGTTTTTTCAACCGTATTTAGTTTAAATTGCAAACAATATTTTCTCCTATTTTTCAACCATCTTTTATCTAATATAAATTTGTCTTTTTCAATCTTTGTTATACATCTAAGATAGTGAGCCAAAACAAATCACAAAGGCAAACACACAACAGTTTGATGAGGTGCTGTAAAATTGCTGAAAAAGGTAACAATACAAAATCCTTATTTTCTTCACGGTATAATTCTACTGTCATATAAATTCATTTCATGTGTTTCAATATTTTTCTTTCCTTGCCTAGGCTGCTTCCTCAACAATCAACAGTACTGGAGAAAACCTTTTAGCGTTGCAGTAAACTACTTTTCTCATATTTTGTTATTCTAGATAATACAATACAACTTCTGCAACTTTTGGTGTGTCTGCTGCATGTATAAAATCTTTCATATGTAAAAATCATCATTTCCTTTTCAATGTAAATAATATTAATCTTTTATCTTATAGTCTTTAAATCTTTCAAACATAATCTTTCTTACAATTTTTAATCCCGCAGCAACGCGCGGGCACAACTTTCTAGTATTTGCTAATTTCCATACCAAATTAAACCCCCCATGCAGCGCATAACAAACAGGATTTTGGATCCTCATTCTAACAAATAATCCGTATTTAGTAATGTCTGTTTGTTTCCATTTTATTTATATAACCCGTAGACCAAAATTAAAGAGTAGTACTAAAACGGAAAAAGATGTGAAATTATCATTTCTGAACCATATATACTTTTAAGAACTAGATTGGAGCTTGACGCCAACCATGTTTTGTTGACTTTCCAGATGTCTAAATCCACCTCTCGCCTTTTTTTGTTTTTCTTGTCATGCTTTATGTAGTGGTAGGCATCAAACTAACCAAACCAACCAAACGATGGAGCGGCCGGTTGGGGATCTAAGGGAGAAAAACTTTGAGAGAGAGAGAGAGGGCGGTGATGTCGGGGAGGGACAGAGTCGAGTTCGAGGACTCCAGTGACAGGGTCGAGGTCGGGGTGGTGGAGGAGACAACGAGGCGAGACGGTAAAAGAGAATCGAGTCGAGTTCGAGGACTCCAATGACAGAGTCGAGCTCGAGGAGATCTAGGACCTAGGGTAAAACTAACGGCTCATATTTGTTGGTAGGTTCCTTTTCAATCTCGTATGTCCATTGCAATTACAAAAGGGCCGGTCCAGGTACCCATTTTTCTATACTTCTAGAATCGGCCCGCCCCTAAAATTTCAAAGCCTTGCCCCACCCCGCCCCATTTCTTATTTTAAAAATTAGGAACCGGTCCGTACCCGCCCCAAACCTTGATTCCCATCCCCCCCCCCCCCGACCCACGGTTCTTATACTCGTTTGCCCACCCCTACTTAGGGGTGTTGGTGTAATTAACCCTAAACTGAAAAGACTCTTAAATTAAAATGTGTGAGATGTGTGGACCAATGTTTAGAAAAATAAAAACTCATGAAATGTTGGACCTTTTTGTATATTGATGTGCTTGAATAAGATTAAACCAACCGAACCATACTAAATTAAACTAATTACAACTGTTTGATTTGGTTTGGTTTCAATGGTAGCATGATCAAATCGAATCAAATCAAACCGTTGAATGTTAGTTGGTTCGATATATTTAATATCAAACCAATTCAAATTGAACCGCACCCCTTCTAGTTTTATGACACGAGACAAACGATTTTTTAAGTAAGGATGGACTACTTTGCAAACCCTACCACCACCTTGTCCCAATAAGATTCAATAAAACCTCTGTAAACTGTACTCTAGGATAAACCTCAAATCATACAAAATTTCAGTCCCAACTTGGGACTGATTATGTTATGTATTGGATAAACTCCATATTGTAACAAGTTATAATTTTTCTTGATCTCATCTTAAATAAACACGTTTTCACATGGTTATAATTGTCAATTAGTACAAAAATATGTAAGAAATACAAATTCATTCAGAATATATAATTCCATAAATAATATTTTTTAATTACACCTCTATTAAGTGATAACCACCCTAAAATTATAGTGATTCGGTCCCGAGTGTATAACTTTATAAAAGTTTCCATGAATTCGTTTTTTTTTTTTTATTGTGTGAGCTTGTGGATTGCACTTGTGCTCGATTGATATGAATAAATTTCAATTTTTCGTTTACGAGTCCAGTGGACGAAAAATAAACCTGAATGTGTCACACAGCTTCAGCCACATTCATCACGAAATCTCCTTCAACAAGACTACAAATTTTCACTATGTAAAATCAGATCAGGAACACATGATACAATCACATACAGCTTCTCGAGAATTTTGCTTTCACAAGCTTTCCGATACAAGAATAAGAAACAATCGGACCCTCGCATATGGATACCGTCCAACCGTCACCGGAATTGGAAGAAAGGCCACTTTAGGGAGATTGGAACCATTCCACACTTGGACCTGAAGACTTTCTTTCATTGGAAATGGAAGATTTACAAAATGAATAGTGCAAGGTTCTTCAGATCACAAAGAAGTGTAAAATGCGTTGCAATGGCACCTGAGAAAATATGGCTTTCGTAGCCATTGGATTTCTAAGTCTCCTCAATCGCAATCACGCTGTACAGTATGGGGAGTCCGACAAGGGGGAGTAAGGTCGAACATTCCCCCAAGAATAAGTGAACTCCTTCTAGATGCTGAATAAGCTTCTTTGCCCATACAATTACAAATTCCTCACCCAGAAAAATAGGACAAAACCACTATAAGCAAGCCTTTTTTCACCTCCGATGAAAACTCGGCCAGCTCGCATATGCACTTTTGATCAAACGCTCACAGAGCTGGCTTTTCCGGATAAAACCATGTGAATATCAACAAAAACTAACCTCACAATATTCCGTTCAAAACCCTCTGATAATAATCATACTGCCTTGTTCGCCATGCATCCAAGCTGCTGCTGATCAAAGAAAGCACCAAGGATACGCATTGCTGATAGAAAGCATCAAACAACAATGTTACAACGATAGCAACGAAATATAGTGCACTTGAAGTAAAAAATAAGAACACTAAATCAAACCTCTTCTGTCAAACTCAAGTGAAACCGTTTCCGCAGATTCTGTATTGTTCGTGCACCACCTTTAAAGCATGGAAAACCAGAGTCCTGGCAAAAGACATTTTAACAGTAGCCTGAGTTAACCAACCATTATAAAAGCGGGCATTTTGATAAGAGATTCTCCCTAGACTCTTGCATGCTCATCAATCGACTACACATGCACACTGTTGAGTTCCATCTCCTTCATGAAAAACATCATTTTTATTGAATTGAAATGGAAGACAATACATCCAACAGTGGTGAAGATATCGGCAAACAAACAGTATAACACAGACGAACAAGCTCTACCAACAATCGCGAACTAACTACAGCTCTCCAAACCAATAGGGTAAAACAGTAATTCCCCACAGGGTAGTGATTGCAACACACCCTTTTTCAGCTTGTGCACACTCTCTGTTAATCATGACTTGATTTTACTTAAATTGTTCAATCTAACGGCTACAAAACAAAAGGGATTGTGTATGAGGTGAGAAAGGATGTGTGAAAATCATTTCCCTTCCTGGAATTCTGAAGACACCACACCCTCAATTTCTTTTCATTCCACAGTTGACAAAAAGAAAAAAAGGACGAGCGCATTGACAGCTAAATTTGGTGTTACCTGCAACATCTCAACAAGAAGAATAATGCGTTCTGCATGCTTCCGACATGTAAGGAACCCTTGAATGCACAAAACCTGAAAACAGCGCGAGAGCTTACCCCCAGAGAATATAAAAACATCCAAAGACATCGATGTCCATGAACAAAAACAACTAAGTTTTTTTTCTATTGTTACCTTAAAATAATCGAAGAACTCGCTAGGAACTCCCTCAGCATCAGAATCCATGACCTAGCATAATCACACTTTCAACTTAGAAGGAAAAAATGATTCACCCTAAAATGTTAACAAGCAGCAAGGAAGATTATTGGACACAAAGATGGAAAGTGATAAACAAACAATATAAGCGTATGTCTCTTACCTCAAGAAGTTCACGTGTTAATTTGAATGGAGCACTCTCAAAATTAACACCCCCAGGCGAATTGGAGAGCATGAAACCGAAATCAATATGTACAATATGACCTTCTTCATCCATTAAGAGGTTCCCATTGTGCCTATCCTTTATCTAAACAACAAACACATCGGTGAAAAATTATTATATGACCTTCAAGGACTAAACAAGGAGAAAACCGAGGATCAAAGGTATTTGATAAACTAAACGTGCCTCAAGTACATGCTACTGAATGAGAACAAATGTCAAACATACAGTAAATAATTTAAATCTTCACTAACATTTGAAATCATACATATACGTATGCAACATATGGCAGATTCCAGGGTTAACTTGTAAATGTTTAGGAAAGAGATCATTTTATTGTACCAAAGAAAAATAATGATATTTAGGGAATGACAATATTGAGTATAACAACCAGGAGCCATACGTGGTCAGAAAGTCAAGTAATTTCTTAATTGCATTGTTGTTAAAAAACTGTATCCCCTTGTACTAGTGACGTAAATAAGAGTTTGCTAACAAGTGCATTACAGGTTAACAAAGCAACTAACATGGTCAGTTTTTCAACCAGTAGTAACATGAACGATTTTTTGTCCTGAAGCAACATGATAAAACATATAAACACAGTGGGATATACGTAACGTATCTCATATACACACAAAATGCCATTTTTGAAATTAACATCTGCATTGAAGCTTAATTTCATTAGAGGTTTACCCATTCAGCGTAACTCCATGACAGAATTAACACATTTTCATGTTTGAGTTATAGAAAGATAGAGCGAGATGGATTGATACATAGAAAGATAGAGAGAGGGGGAAACCATACCTGCAGAAGGTAACAAACTAGAGAATACCCAGCCATACTTTCAACAAAATTCCTCTGTAAAACAAATTAAATAAATAAATAAATCAAGCCTTTCTATTCACAAAGAACATTAGATTCAGTGAAATTAATTAAATGTAACTAGGAGACAATATAATTGGCTCATTGCACCACTTGAATCTGGATTCTGGACAATTTTCCCTAGTGTACATTTTTCTTTAAATTCATTTAGATGACCAAAATATTGATGGGTTCATTAAGTTGGTATGGGACTCGGGAAAATCTGGTACTCAAAAAAAAAGAGAACCGAGAACGTCTTAACATATAATTCATATAAAGAGACCAAGATGGAAAACCTATTAGGGAGACACATCAAGGTATCTATTGTTCTTTTTCTGCCAAGACTAATCAAAAATCAAAATCTAGAAGCTGATCCATGGAATTATACACAACTCGCAAGTCATAAGTGAAAGGGACCTTCAAAATCAACTTCATTCGCATCTAACCAAATAAACATTTATGAGTATGCCAAAAGCTTACTCTCATCCAGAAGTAACTATACAGAATTTTAGAAAGGACAGGGTA